AAATAACAAATTTTTCATTAAATTAGAAAGGATCATTTTGTTTTCAAAGTTCTTATTCTATTTTCATAATAAAACACCATGGCTCCAAGGAAAAAAATTTTTTTTCTAGTGTGGCAGTCAATGTGTTAAGGAAATCGGACATTTCATACTTACTAATTGCTCCTATATTAAAAATATAGGTTCAAAGATGTTTGTATAGTTTGCAGACTGGCCTCTGTGTGCCAGCATTCCTGAGACCCTCTTTGTTATCTAGAATGGTTTACCAATTATGAGGAGTGTGCTATGGAAACTCATAGAGGAGACTACAGGATAATTTCTGGAGCTTTGTCTTCTAGATAAATATTATCGAGTATGTTCATTTTTGATTTTCATGTTGTATGGATGACCAAAACAAAGGTGAAAGTGGGGAAGGAGGAATATGACTCCTGTTCTCTTGAAACAGAAACATTAATCAAAAACCATAGGGAAAAAGATGTTAATGTTCCAATTCCAGACAGCTGACAGCGGTACTATTCATGCTAAAGTCCGTAAAGCAATAAACATTTGTTATTGTCTCACTTTCATAGATCCACTTGGCCTTAATATTTTTATGTACAAATTCTTATTTCTATTGTTTTCTCATTTGAACAGAGCATCATGGTCCACCATCCGGAACAAACTCAGCCAGGCAAAGCCCAGCCTTACAGCACAGGCCCATGGGACAGTCACAAGCCAACCACATACCTGGGGACAGGTGGGGCTGCTCTCATCTCTCTACTGTTCGTAATCCACACCACTCCCTTGCAGTTATGCAGAAGCCAGCTGTTGAGGTCAAAATGAGAACTCTTGCCTATTTCACCCTCAGATTCCTTCCCTATTCCTTCCACCCGCTCAATACCCTCATCCCTCTTCCCAGGCCCCATCGAAGGCACAACATAATTATCCAATCATGCCTGACAGACGAGGATTAGAAAGAAGTGACAGTAGCATCTGGCTCGTCTACTCTTGGTCCACATAGTTTTGGTAGGAAAGCCCTGGGCCGAAATGGACTGCTGTATTAGACTACCTGAGCAGAGCAGTATTTTGTACATATTTTTTTCTTCTTTTATTAAATGTTAGCCATGAAACAAAACCTAGATTTCCAGAAATTCAGCATATTCCCCAGTGTTGGCGCTACACAAGAGTCATTTTTCACTGTGACAAGGTCAACTTATCTGCCCTCTGGTTCAGTTATTTGAGTGCAGTTTTCCTTGATGTAAACTGCACTGAGATGCCCTTAAAAAAAATTGGGATGTTGGCAGACTTTAAGCTATGTTGGAGTTAATGACCAGGTTTTTCCTCACATCTCTCTGGTTCTAGATATAGTCTGTCTTCATAGTGGTTTGTCAGAGGAAGAATGGCAATATTCATCTTTTAAAAGAAAATAAACCAATCTGCCTTTACTTTAAGGCTGTTTTCCATTTTCTCAGTTCAGAGAATGACTTGATTTCTCTCTCTTGTAGAAGTGTCCTAGAAGGTGAAATTGGAAAAGATGTCTCCACTTCATACAGACATTCATGGTCTGACCACAAGCACCTCGCACAGCCCGACACTGCCGTGATTTCAGTCGTAGGCAGTCGGCACACTCAGGTAAACAGATAGCCCCCCGGATACAGACGGATATTTTGAGTTGCTATGTCACTGACATTGGTGAATTTCTATTGAAAATCAGTTCAGATAAATTGTTTCCAAAATTAATAATTCTTGAAGACCTACTATGTGTTTGGCATTCTGTTAGCTTCCGTGAGAGAATGTAAATAGT